AACATTTATTAAATTGAATTTTTGCTTTTTTTTTCTTATCATCCCTCCAGCTTTCTGAGGCTCCTCTAGCGCCCCCTGGCAGCTCCCACTTTGACAAACACTGTCCACTGCAGCGATCCTAATGAAACTTCTAGAAGTTGATTATTTGAAGTACATTTAAAAAAGATTAGTTTTTGAAATCGGCCAAATTCAACTATTAGCAAACACTCAAATGACTCAGCCTTTCTTTACGAACACTGAGATAAAAGCTGGTGTGGAAAGAGCTAAACGTCATCCTGAACACAAACTCTGAGCACTAACACAACTCGCCTGATGTCGTTCATCAAGTTATTCACAAGTTCTGATCAAAACAGCTGCACATTAGTTCTCTGAAACCCTGGCACGAAAGACGGCGGGCGTTCTTTCATACTAAATGAGTAAATTGAACAACTTGATATAAGAATTTGAGGTCATAAAAAAACAACTCAGGTCCAGTTTACTAATTCTCTTTCATGTCTGTGTGTTACAGGCTGGAGCAGGAGATAGAAGAGCTGGAGACAGGAGTTCCTGCTAAGAAAGGTGTGGCCAAAGAAAATGGTGAGTTTTGTGCTTACCAATAGCATCACAACAGGAAACCATGGCAACGCAGCTTGATGACCAGCGACATAAAGACATGACTTGCTAAAAATAGCCTCTTCACTTGCTCTATTAAATTAGTCGTCTCCTCCGGAGGTTATTAAAGCCGTATTTCCTCCCTTTCTTTGTCTCTCTTGACTTGCCCCTGGCTGGTCCTCGCGATCTCTCACTGATACTCTGGCGCCCCCTGTAGGTGAGAACGGCGTGGTGCAGAACACCAAGAAGGAGCTGACGGGGGTCGAGGCCAAGCTGCTGGGACCTAGTCCAGACCAGGCCAGCGAGGAGAACCCAGTCACTCTGGTTTTCATGGGCTACAAGACAGTGGAGGAGGAGCAGGAGAGCCGCACGGCCCTGGAAGGGGTGGACGGCAACGTGAAGGCCGAGTTCGTGGTGATCGAAGACGGCGAGGGGAAGGCGGACGACGCGGCCACAGGGGAGCAGGCCCCGCCCAACGGCAGCATGGCGGAAAAGGAGAAGGCCAACGAAAGTGGAGAGGCGGGAGAGAAGGAGAAGAAACAGACCTGCAAGTGCTGCACGGTCATGTGAGCTCTGTGTGTGTGTGTGTGTGTGTGTGTGTGTGTGTGTGTGTGTGTGTGTGTG